CTCTCTCTCTCTCTCTCTCTCTCTCTCTCTCTCTCTCTCTCTCTCTCTCTCTCTCTCTCGTCTTTTTCAGCAAAATTCGACTCTCATTTAAATTCGAATCACGGACGTTAAAAATGGAGAATAAAGGGAGAAAGGACGATAAGTAAACGGTATAAAAATATATATTATACATCCGCGTTTGCGCTCAGAGGTAAATCGAGAGCGGATGCAACAGGAGTTTAGAGTTGGTCGGTGTGTTATGTAAATTTTAACGCGATACCAGCTCGGTTTCACTTCATTCGCCTTACGCATCCGTTATTTCCACCGAGGCCTCATCCCCTCGATCTCATCGCTTATGAAATTACGTTCGCGTTTTTTTTTTACCCTCTCCTCCTCGAGACTTTCGAAGGAAGAAAATCATTTTTTTTCTCGCGAAATTTCACGTCGATCGCGAGACCTTGATTTTAATCTTTTCGTTAAAAGTCGGCCGAACGTTAAACCGTTTTTCCCTTCTCTCCACCCCCGGTTTCCTCTTCCTTCCCCCTCCTCCCCTTTGAGCTAAATATTTTAATCCAACAAGTTTCCGGGACGGTAAAACCAGTTCGCGAAATAAGCAAATAACGGTATTAAAGGCATAAAATATTTCTCTTAGCCAATTTAAAATATAAAAGTCGTTCGTTGCGGAAATTGGTCGCGCGAAAGGGGGATCTTTCGAAAAGGGAAAAAAAAAAAAAAAAAAAGAAAAGGACGAATAGATTTTTTCCTAATTTTACCTTATTAAATTTGCGATCAAGACGTGGAACAATGATTCGAATAACGTAAATCAACCGGGCGAAATTCATTTTCAAATGAATAAATAAAGAACGATTGTTTCAATTGTAACGTGTAACAATTATACGTTAAAATTTTAAATCCTCTTTTTTAAACAAAATATTTTGTTTATAGATTAAACAAAATATATATGGGTATATATAGGCATAGAACTAATCGGATAACTGATTGGTCGCATTTCAATAGGTGAGAAATATTCTGAAAAATTTATTCGAATTTTAATCATTTACTTTTAATTTAATTTAAATAATTTTTTTTGTAACTTAAACTTGAGTAATTACTTTTTTGTATTAGAAATATCACACGATGCAATGATTCGTTAATAATTTTTTTTTTTAGATTTCAAAACAATAAAAATAGAAATTATCTTTTTATCATGATATACGGGCTGTTACTTGGCGGATTCTTTAAATTTTTAACTGAGAGTGTGATTTATAAAACCACATATTAAAATTATAGCCAGAAGTGGATATGTATAAATAACATGTTAATTTTGATGTAAACATAGAGTCTGAAGAATACGAATACTTTTCTAAATATTTTGATTATTCTTTCAGAAATCAATAAATACTTTTGAATACTGAATGGTGATGAACAGCTATATTCTAAGAGTATTATAATTTGCGTTTAAAACGACTAGCTAAAAGTATCCGATGTTAAAAGGTTAATCCAGCCATTGATGAATTAATTTTAACTTATCTTACAGTGTCTTCTTACAGTGCTTTTTTCATTTTATAATTTTCATTGTTTTTAACATTATTTTATTAAATTATCACAGTTTGTAAGCCCATTTATTTGGCCCATCCCATAGCAAATAGCCGTAACTTCTTTTAACAAGCATTTTTTCTTCAATATCTGTTTCTTTAGAATATCATTTCCGAGATCCAGTTTATTGTACGTTTAAGTTCGAAATGTTTTCTAGTATGTCGATTATTATGCATTTTTTTAATTCTATATTAATTAAATGTTAATTAAATATTAATTTTTTGTATATATATATTTATTCATATTTTTAATGAAATAATAAATTACAATAAAAAGCAGTATCTCTTCTAAAAATTAAATCTCCGTAATAAGCTCGAAACCGGGAGAAAAATAATTTTTGTCCACTTCTATTATTCGAACTGCGCACCGTGCGTCGTCTCGATTTTCTTTTCCCTCCGCTCGTTCGTAATTTGGCCTTCAATCCCTGGAACAAATATTCTTTCCTCCCTCCTCTTCTATCGGGGATTACCGGCCCCGTGTTCCCGGAACCGTGTTCATCCACGTCCAAACGTTCGAACCGTTTGTCTTCCATCGAACTCCGCAATTCACGATATTTCCTGAAAACCGTTTACTCGCCACCGATCCTACCGTCTTGTACTTAACCTTCCATCGTTTAATCAACCAACGAGTACACTGCCGCCAATTTCCTTTCTCTCTCGGATCAACAGTCGTCCTTCGTTCCTTATTTCCACTCGAACCGAACGTTTCGCTTCGGCGAAACTCGCGAAAATAACCTTGTGGTTAGCTATCTTTCTCCATCTTTTTTGCAATATCTTTCGGTCGAGTTGCGGTCGTTAAATATACTTGGTCGTATGAAGGAAAATAAGAGCGGACAGAGACCGTTCTCTCGTTAAAAGTTGAAGAAAGTTTTTTAGTTTGTTATTTCCCTTTCTTTCTTTCTTTCTTTCTTTCTTTTTCGCAGCTGGTGTAACCACGGATCTGTAACCGGATACAGCGATCGAAATAACTTGAAAAAGTGCTGGAACAATGGATACGCGGTATCGATTTAATTTAACATAGTTTACCTAACCTTAAAATAATATTTTAATTATAGATGCAATGGAACGAAGAAGAATATATATATATTAGTATTTTTATTATCTTTTCTTTCTCCTATTCACGAATTTCGACGAAAAGTTTAATATAATTTTTCCATATTTCTGCAAATTCTCTCAACCGCGACTATCTTAACAATTTTACGCCGCGAGGCGGCGAGATTCGAACAAGCGGGAATATTTCTCCATGAAGGAATATGTATATATAGGAATATATATATATATATAGGATATGAAATAACGGAGAGAATACGACTGTGCGACTCGTGCGACATCTATCTACCTATAGACGCGAAGCTATGCGCGCTCGTTCCGTCGTCCACGTAGAAATAACTCCTCTCTATCTTCCTCCTTCGAAGAATCTCGGTCAGAATCCCGACAAAGGTTCGCCGTAAATGCTCTTCAAATTTTAATATCCCCGGTTGAATAGCGTTTCAACCGTCGGCAATATTATTCCGATCGGCAAGATTTGCCCGTTAAAGGGGCAAATGCGCGCGCGTGTATTCTCCGTGTACGTGTTTTCCAGCCTCTCCCCCCTTCCTTTCCCTTTTCGAACGAATCGAATAATTCCCGGGCAAAGCGGCTCGCCTATACGAACGCGTATACAGAAACGAATACGTGCATACAAACGACTTTGGCATAGACTTCGGGAGTAGAAAATATTTTCACCAAACTACTAGAAAACTATCTTCTTCGATGTTTTGAAAAATAGCTCGCGTTGTATCGTATCCTGTGTATCCGAAACGCCTGTTTACTCGCGATATTGGCTTCGCTGGCATCCATCGGCTCGACGCGTTTCAATATCGATCGATTCGTATCCAACAGTTGGCCGCTAATTTCGCTCGGCTAATTTTAATTTGTTGTAAAATTAATTCTCGAAAAAAAAATCAAGCATTCTTTCGATATTCGTCAAATGACGAAAAGATACGAGCGAATTTGTTATTTTCGTTAAATCTGTAAGTAAGTAAGTAAGTAAATAAGTAAGTAAGTAAGTAAGTAAGGATATATTTTCCAACGCGACGAATTTGATCGTCGAAATGCGAAATCGTCGAGCATATAATCCCCGAGCCGCTTTCATTGTAACCGTTGACGCGAAATTAAAGCCGCGCAACTAGGGGGAATTCAATTTTCCTTAATCGAACCAGTTGTCGATATATTAACGCATTCGAGCACGCATTAAATCACCGCGGCCCTGATATACCGCGTTAAATTGAATGATGCCATTCCGCAGGAATTTCCCGTTTCGCGTGTGTACACACGTGAAATTTCATACATCTCCCACGGCGTATTGCCCGCGCCGCATTTCATTAATGTGCCTTCCGCACCCGACCTAATGGCTAAACTCGTCAAAAATTTTATATTATATCGTTCGATCGTATCTTTTTTTTTTCTTACGCCACCGAAAATTTACCAATCGATTTTTTTTTCTTTTCCTTCTTTTTCTTTCGCGCTCTGCAAAAAATTAATACGAGATTGGATCTCGATTCGAATCACGAAATTCGACGCGTCCTAAGAAATTTTTCGCGCGAAATTCGAAATGCTCGCAACGGGTAAAATTTAAAAGGGCGAAGCGTCGGTTAAATTACGAATCACTGGCGGGATGGCGAGCGTGAATGCACGCAGTCGGCCGGCTTCTATCGCGAGATAGGGCGATATTAAAGCAGCGCGGGGCAGTGTGCTTCCACGAAAGATACCGATCGAATATCAACGAACGAATAACGCGAATAAGCGATATTCGAAGCGGATTCGAATAATAAATGAAGAAAAAAGAAAAACGTATTTCCTATTGCGTATAAAGTCATATTTTCATCATATTTTCTAAAAATTCGATTCGTCGATATCGCCAATAATTCGTCCTTTCCTCTTTTTTTTTTCCCTTTCGAAAATCCTTTCGAAACTCGAGCTCGGGAATATTGCCGAGCGACGTGGTCGTTCGATCGTTTTGTGCCATATTTTTCGCACAGTTTTTCGCGCGGACAACGTCGTTCACGTACGTGTTCCACTTCTTTTTAAATCTAAACCTCATCTAACCTAAAATCGTGAATTCTCCTTCGTTCGAATTCGGTTTTGAAACGAAGAGAAGAAAAAAATGTTACCTCGCAACGAAATCGAAAAACAGATCGGATCGGATAAACCGTTCGAAAGGCATCTTATTTCCGCACCGAGGGGAAACGAACATCGAAAATCGAATTTTCTAATCCGAAAAACTTTATAAACGATTTCTAAGAGTATAGGAGATATATTTATTAATCTATTCGCTCGAATAATAGCCCGGTTTTGAATATCTGCAGATTTTCACCGATAAATCCAGAGGTGGGGGGACGGCAGATTGTTGGACCGTCAGTGGGCAGCGTTCGTACGGGCGAGGTTGAACGTTCGCCGAGTCCACCGGCATAGAAAACGGATGCGATACGGA